TCAGCAGGTGCAATTTATTTTTGCATGTTGCTGACGGGGGAGCAAAACACTCACCGTGTGCCATCCTAAGCTGAGCTGCACCCTTCTAATCCCGCTGGAGTCAACGGATTGAGAAGGGTGCAATTCTACACAGGATGGCAGAATTGCTGCCTCTCTGTGTGAGTTCCCGGACAGAGAACAGTTCACCTGCGCTGGCACCCAAGGCCGAGATGCAGCAGAATCATCGGGTCCAACCAGAACCACTGACTCTCGAAAGCTCATCCCCTGGCAATCTTGTTGGTCTCCAGGGTGTTCCTGGACCTGGTGAAACAGCGTCCCATTAAGCCTCTATTAAAGGGACAGGCCCGTTTCTTCCTCGGCGGGCGGGGGGGGGCAGGATCCCTCCGCACTTCCAAGGTGGCCACCTGCTCTGGGACCTGCTGCAGCTCCAAGTCCGGACGGAGACCGGACCAGGAAGGAATTTACAGCAGCTGCCCCTTGGGGCCTCCTTTCTCCCACCAAGGACTTCCGGGCAGCCGATGCGGCTCTTCTCCCACCCACCCCTGTGAGGTAGGCCCGAATGAAAAGCACCAGCCAAGTTCGCCTAGTGAGCTTCGGGACGGAGCAGGGATCTGACCGCAGGTCTCCCAAATCTTCACCCAGGCCGCCCATCCCTACAGAGAAAAAGCAGGCAGCCTCATCCCAAGACAGACAAATGTCCTCCTTGCCATGGCAGCCTCCACCCCGCCTTTCCCCCTCCTAGGTGCAATTTTTTCTTGCATGTTGCTGACGGGGGAGCAAAACACTCACCGTGTGCCATCCTAAACTGAGCTGCACCCTTCTAATCCCGCTGGAGTCAACGGATTGAGAAGGGTGCAATTCTACACAGGATGGCAGAATTGCTGCCTCTCTGTGTGAGTTCCCGGACAGAGAACAGTTCACCTGCGCTGGCACCCAAGGCCGAGATGCAGCAGAATCATCGGGTCCAACCAGAACCACTGACTCTCGAAAGCTCATCCCCTGGCAATCTTGTTGGTCTCCAGGGTGTTCCTGGACCTGGTGAAACAGCGTCCCATTAAGCCTCTATTAAAGGGACAGGCCCGTTTCTTCCTCGGCAAGCGGGGGGGCAGGATCCCTCCGCACTTCCAAGGTGGCCACCTGCTCTGGGACCTGCTGCAGTTCCAAGTCCGGACGGAGACCGGACCAGGAGGGAATTTACAGCAGCTGCCCTTTGAAGCCTTTCTCCCACCAAGGACTTCCGGGCAGCCGATGCGGCTCTTCTCCCACCCACCCCTGTGAGGTAGGCTCGAATGAAAAACACCAGCCAAGTTTGCCTAGTGAGCTTCGGGATGGAGCAGGGATCTGACCACAGGTCTCCCAAATCTTCACTCAGGCCGCCCATCCCGACAGAGAAGAAGCAGGCAGCCTCATCCCAAGATAGACAAATGTCCTCCTTGGCACGGCAGCCTCCACCCCGCCTTTCCCCCTCCGCCCTCTTCTAGGAAGGAAAACAAAATTCCACGCCCCAGAGAGAGAGACTGAGGAGAAGACGAGATTGGATTTCTACCCCTGCCCTTCACTACCCGAAGGCGTCTCAGAGCGGCTTAGTCTCCTTTCCCTTCCCCTCCCCACCACAGACACCCTGTGAGGCAGGTGGGGCCGAGAGACCTCTCTTGAGAACTGCTCCTGAGAGAACAGCTCTGAGAGAACTTGTGACTGACCCAAAGTCACCCAACAGCCGCATGTGGAGGAGTGGGGAATCAAACCCGGTTCTTCCAGATTAGAGTCCAAGCTCCTAACCACTACACCAGACTGGCACAGGGGTGGCACCCAGAAGACGGAAAAGGCACGTGACACTTGGCAGCAGCTGTTTACATTTATTAATTTTATTGGCAAGATTTATAGAAAGCCTGTCTCACTGTCCGGCCACAGCTGCTGGGACTTCCAGGTGTGCTGACTGGGTCTGACGGTGCGCTGTGGCAAAAAATGAAGGAAGGGCCCTTCAGCCCCAGAAAGACTCACAAACGGATTGCAGCAGAAGCTGGCACGGGCGCCACCCCCTGCAAAACTCACCGACCGAGGCGTTTCATGAAGACAGATCCAAGTGGGCAGCCGTGCTGGTCTGAGGCAATTGTTAGTCTCTAAAGGTGCCTCAGGGCCACGGTGGCTCAAGTGGTTAAGATGCTGAACTGCTGAACGGAAGGTCGGTAGTTCGGCAGTTCAAGACCCGAGTGTGCCGTGTGACGGAGTGAGCTCCCGTCTCTGGTCCCACCTCCTGCCAACCTAGCAGTTCGAAAGCAAGAAATTGCAGGTAGATAAATAGGGACCGCTTCGGTGGGAAGGTAACAGCGTTCCATGCGCCTCGGCATCTAGTCATGCCGGCCACATGACCACAGAAATGTCTTCGGACAGCGCTGGCTCTTCGGCTTGGAAACAGAGATGAGGACCGCATCCCTAGAGTCAGATCCGACTGGCCTTCGAGCAAGGGAAACCTAAAGGTGCCTCAGGACTTTTTTTGGGGGGGGACTTCTCTTTGATCACCAATTTGGACAGAAGGGAGGACGCCACCCTTTGAGGCTCCAGAGGAAGACTGGGGGCATGAGAAACAAGCAGGGCTGGCACTCAAATATGCGCCAACTGGGCAGCTGCCAGGGCCCCGGGTAAATCTGAAATCGGCACCGGAAACAAGGCAGAGAAACCCAGACCAGAAACACTGTGCTTCTGAGCCATACATTGTTGAAAAGCGATGGAGTGCTCTTGGGTGGGCTCTGGAATGACGGGCAGCAGCCGGTCAACACAACCCCAGAAGTGCAATGCGGATTCTGTGAACTTGGGCAGATCACGAGAAGGGAGGGCAGGAAGGGTGGCCTCAGTGCTTAGTTCTCGTGGCCCCTTCTTCCATGCCCAGGGAAATGCCGCTCGCCACTTTGGGGGTCAGGCAGCAATTCTCTCCAGGCCAATTTGGCCAGGAATCCTGGACAGTGTTCCCCCTAAGCTGAGTGAGTGTAAGCTAGCTCACAGCTCTTTAGCCTCCGCCAGCTCACGCATTTTTGTTTTAGCTCAGGAAGGGATGGCTCCAGAGCAAACTACGTAATTCATGCAGCAGCCAAACTGCTCGCTCACGACTTTAAGGCCAGTAGCTCACAAAGCAGAAATTTTTGCTCACAAGACACCACCGCTTAGAGGGAGCATTGAATTCCTGGAGAGTTTTTCTGCTGTCTTCTGGGCATGGAACAGGGGTCACTGGGGATGTGGCGGGAGGTAGTTGTGAATTCCCTGCATTGTGCAGGGGGTGGGACTAGAAGACCCTGTGGAGGTCCCTTCCAACCCTATGATTCTATAAGTGGCTTCTGACCATAACGTCTGAGCACCTCCGGCCAACGTCTGACAGGCTCTCTCGCTCTCTCTCTCATACACAGATTATTTGCCATAAGTAGGTCACCTCTGTAAGCTCTTTTCTCCGTAAGCTCTTTTCTCCGTCAGTAAGCCAAGCAAGAAGCCCCACCAAGGGCCAGAGACGCTCCACAAGCGGCTTCACACCGAACACACGCACAGACCGTGTCCCAACATGCCCCTAACCGCCAATGGGGACCTCTCTAGGACTGTTCATGAGCGGGAGGGCCAAGGGAGGGAATTTCCCAGAGGGCTTCTTAGCCAAGGGCTCTCGCCTTCCAAGATTTCTCCTTACACCGAGCTCTCCGGCCACCGGTACCAAAGGAAGAGGCTGGCATCCCCCCTCTGGGTTCAAACCCAGCCCAGGGAAGGAAGAGCCCGCCTTCTCTAGGAAGACCACATACCTTAAACTGACCCCTGCATTGCAGATCTACCGGAGCCTTGCTTTAAAAGAACCCACTGGGGTAGAGCACTTAAAGAATTGCTAAAATATTCATATTCTCTCTCCCTCTCTCGTGAGAAAGGTGTGCAGCTGGTTTCCAAGAGAACACGGCTCAGAGCGCATCGCGTACCTCCTGCTTCCCTGGCCGGGTTTGGTGCCAGCTCCAAGCAGTTCACAGGAAACAGCAGCCCTGCTGATTCTGGGACTTGTTTCTGAGTGATCAAATGCTCAAAGAAACAGGGAGATAATTACAAACTGAGAAAAATGGTAAGGAGCAGCTAGGAGATTGGGTGTGTGTCAGCATGACAACCACTCGCCTGGCCACGGGCCTTCCATGTCCAATCCCCACGGCCTTTCCAAAGTGAATTGAGCAGCCACGGTCCAGGCCCACCTGTGGCTGCCTCCATAGGAGGGGCCCAATCCCCACCCCAGGGCACACCGACAACATTCAGACACGGTACCTTCTGGGCAGAAGCCACCTGGGGGGGCCAGGCACTGGAGCTGGTGGGGCAACAGAAGAGGCCCCTCCCACACCACAAGCACTGGTCCTTAGTTGTGCCATAGCGGTGGCCGCCCGCCCGCACAAGGCCCGAAATCCCAGGCCAACGGCACTGGGGCCCCAGAGGCACACGGCTCCGTCACTTGCCTGTTCTCCTCCTTGTATTTTAATGGTATTGCTCCTGTTGCGGTGCTCCAGAGAGGTGACAGAGACATAAGAACATAAGAGACGCCAATGTTGGATCAGGCCAAAGGCCCATCCAGTCCCACACTCTGTGTCACACAGTGGCCAAAAATACCAGGGCCATCAGGAGGTCCAGCAGTGGGGCCAGGACATTAGAAGCCCCCTCCCACTGTTGCCCCCCCACCAAAGCACAAAGA